GGGTAGTGTTTGATTTTATGACTAGTTAGAAATAATTTATTTTTATTTTTTATTTTTTATTTTTGCCAAGTAATAAGATAATCAAGTTGACGAGGAGGATGTAAAAAAAAAAAAAAAATGAACATCCAAAATAAAAATAAATAAATACCTCCCCGAACAAACTACTGCAATAGCATAACACCCAAAAACAAAAAATAATAATAAAAATTGACCGACCAAAACTAAATACAGAATATTAAAAAAATAAATAAATAAAAACATGAATTACATAAAATCTCTCGACAATTTGCAATTGCTTGTTTGCGAACACATAAGCACACAAAATCGATCCTATTACGTGACAAATTGACAGTTCAATATTGTTTTGAACACTTTTTATTCACTCACAACCACAACCGACCACCAAAATAAGCACGTGAAAGGATTATTTGAGTGAACGACCCGTTGAGCAGCAATTCGGAAACTGTTTTGTTGGTCTTTACCATACTCGTAAGTGGACGCTAAAATATCAAAATAAAAATTTAACTGGAATGCTAAAATATCAAAATAAAAATTTAACTGGAATGCTAAAAATATCAAAATGAAAATCTAGATTAGATTAAGAGTACTGTTATTTCCCCAACTATCAAAAACCTACATAATATGACTCTTACGTTGATATCACTCTGTGGGGCCAACTGTTTACAATTCACAAGCACTGCAATCTATTTTTTCCTTTTTTTTTCCTTTTTTCCATTATATCTCCCCCATTCCGAGGAAACTCTCCGGCAAAGGGGCATTTTAGGAATTGTCAATAAGTGACATAATATTTTTTTTGATAGGCTAATACTAGTAATTTTTTTTTTTTTGGTTGGACTAATATTGCTATAGCCAAATTATTATTATTATTATTATTTTTTTTTTTTTTGGACTCAAGCCCACCCCCAAATCCGCCCTTATCTCCATCCGTCGATCAAATTGTTCATCAATACTATGATTCAACATCCCCAAGGATTGGTAATTTTATTTTTTCCTAATAAAACTAAATTGAAATTAAATAATTTCCTATATAAAATACCATTCAAATAACACTCGATTGATTAGATGTTGTTCAGGTTAGATTTTTATGTGATTGTCATTTGGGTCATTGGATTTTGGGTTCCGGTTGGTGTCGTATTCGACGGGAGGAGTGGGGCGAATTAGGGCATTGGAGAAGACGCCGAAGTACTAGCCGGAGAGAGCGCCGACAGGTGTGGTGTAGTTGGAGAGGACGAAGGCGAGGCAAAGAGTTTTTTTTCCATTATCTACATAAAGTTTTTTTCCTTTCACCGGTGTCGATATTGGATTACTTGAACATTATGCAAACCAGAACATTGATGTGAAGTGGCCTTTTCACAGATTTGGATCCACCATAACACACAATCACAGAAAAGTGAATCACTGCCCTAAGGTTCTGATGAAGATAATCCCTCTTCCGGTACTTGCTATGGAAATTGGTCCTAGCCATAACCCCTCTTCTGTTACTTTCTATCGAAACTAAGATTTTTCATTGATAAATGGCAAGGAATATGTGTTTTTAAGTTGAGAATTGCCACGTCAGATTTGTATATGTCGGTTTAAAGTCGGGTCGAGTTTGTCGTCAAAAATATCATTTTCCTTAGATTAAATATCAAAATGTCAATAGTGAGAGAAAATATTAATCAACTAGAATTCTAATAAAGGTTAAAAAAAAAAAAAAAAAAAAAAAAAAAAAAGGAATTGAAAATTTAAAAAGTCCTATAAAGAGTGATAAGATAAAACTCTCGAACAAATTAGAATTTTAGGAAATATTTGTTGAAAAATATATGCTTCAAATGATATTTTAGATATAGCTAACCTTATACTAATATGCCATGAAATAATTAATAATATGATAAAAGAAAATTAATTAAATATTCAACTCGATATTCAATTAAACATGCAAATTAAAGCAATAAAATAATAATAAATAAATAAAGAACTTGGACCGAGGTTACTATTGGATACTAAGTCCTTAAGACAATTTACGCCCCGCGTCTTGGTGATGGACTCTGTGGTGCTTGTCTCTCAAGATACAACTATTTACATCCACCAATAGCAGCACTAAAAACTTGTAGATACGACGAACCTCCTCCGTGTAATACTCTCAGTGACTCAAAAAATGCATCTATAATATATAAATGCTAAATTGGGTGCAATCCGAACCAAATGGTTCAGACTAATCTTAATATGGTTCGATGAAATTAGATTAGGGTCTGAGTGGCTCGGACCACTTGACCTATGGTTTGAACCCACTTGGGTTGAGTTTAAGTCTAGAGAGGGAGAAAGAAGAAAATGAATTGAACGAATTACAAACGGCAGCCCAATAGAGTATTTATAGAAATGGAAATGCCTTTTCGGATTGGGTGTTTCTCTTCATCATTGGACACAACCATCACTCAACACAACCATTTATATGTGTCTCTTCATCACTCAACACAACATTTATATGTGTCTCTTGATCACCGAACACAACTATTTATATGTGTCTCTTCATCATCGGACACAACCACTTCAATTCGTTGCAATGGTTCACAAGGTGTCTGTTCATACTAGACACATCCACTCCAATAGGTTGCAATGGAACCTATTAGACACATAGTGTCTGTTCACCGTTAAACACATCTACTCCAATAGGTTATATCTATTTGATTGTACCATTTCAACCAACACACCCATTCACGCATGTATTGTAATCCAATGAATTCTTATAGTTTATTAACCGTTTATAACTAATCCTTGACTGATAATGCTTGGATCCTGCCCTATGAGGACAAGTTTTTTTCTGCAATTTGACGTGGCCCTATCAAAATTTGACATAATATTAAAAAAGAAAAAAAAAAAAAAAAGCAATTTAGATCAACCCGGGTACCCGGATAGAATCCAATTAGAATTGAAACCCATTTTTCTCTCTCTCTCTCTCTCTCTCTTGGCTTTCCATTTTTTTACAATTAAGTCCAAAAACTGATATACAGATAGAGAAAGTGAACTCAAAGCATAAAAATGGTTACTTCGGCTTAGTCTCTACTTGATCTAGTGTTATCCAATGCTTCCCCTTCTCTCACAAGACTCGACTCTTTTCTCTCCTTCAAACCCAGACCACTCTTTTACCCCTTTCCCACGACTTTCTCTCTCTACCCATTAGTGTTGAAGTGTTAGGTTGAAATTTCTTCACCCAAGTCAAGTCGACAGCAACAACAAAGAACGGCAATTTCAGATATTTGTCGGGAGTGACACGCGCCCACGCGCTCCTGTGAGTAAATCTCACTCGTGCCCACGCGCTTCTTCTTCATCATCGTTTTTCCGGCTATGGTTGTCCTTGGTGGACTCGTACTTGCAGTTTTCTGCTTTTAATTACAGTGGGCGCTCCATTAAATGAGCAAAAATAAAAGCTTTGAGTGAGAAAATGAAGAAGAAAGTTGAAGGGAAAACCCAAAGAAGATTCCAAAAGACCACCCCACTTGCTTTGAATTTTCTCTCTCGCCAAACAACAAATAAAATCCAACCTTTTTGTTGCAGCATTATACTCGACAAAATCCCCAATTTGCTGAAAAACTCACCATTTTTTTCCTCATGGATTACAGAGTTTTTCTCCCATTTTCTCTGTTTCCTTTCCTTGTTCCCAAGTCTCTGTCATTCTGCCACTGAAACGTATCTCTTTCTCTCTTTACTTTCTCTCACTATGAAATTTTTATAAAATACCCATTTAAGAACACAAATCATATTTGGTTTTGTTTTTTTTTTCTTAGGCAAAGTTCGGGGTTTAGATTGACTACTGGTGCTTCATCTCTTCCGTGTACTTTCTCTCTCTACACTCTCAAATAAAATTGTGAAAGTCATGCGTTGGGGGTAGTAGTAAAATTGAAGCTGAGATTCAAAGACAATGTGAACAAAGACAACCAAATTCAAATAAAGACTACTGGTGCTTCGTCTCTTCCGCGTACTCTCTCTCTCTCTACACTCTCTCTTCTACAGAGCCTGTGGGTGTTGACCAGTGAGGGAAGAAAGGCCCGTTTGTAATGGGTTGATCCAAATTGATCATTCTTTTAATATCATATCAAATTATGATAGGGCCACGTCAGATAACAGGACAAAACTTGTTCTCATAGGGCAGCATCAAGCATTATCCATCCTTGACCACGTTAAACATTAAGAATACCGTAAAGAAAAATCAGTAGAAGTTAAGTTAAATAACCTTAATTGTGAACTTTGCATGCAGCCTTTATACCAAGATATTCACGTTGTAATCTAACAAGATACACGTCGGCACTGAACTATAAATTAGTTACAAACAAGTGTCTTTCACTCTTAAAACACTAGTTCAAACTCTAATTTTCATAGCTAGTTTCCAACAATATTTAAAAGAATTAGACAAGTAGCAATTATGTTATTAAAAATATAATAACTAAACATGGTGTGATTTAGGGAACTCTCTTGTAATTTTATTTCAAGAGAAGAAAGGAATGGATTATTTTAAGAGAAAAAAGGGATGAACCGTTGGTAGATAATAGTGGAGCGCATGGTAGGGAACGCTAATATCAGCCCAGAAATAGGGTCACTTTAGTTGGCTGGCAAGTACCGTAAAAAAGCTTTGAAGTTGGTACCGGGAATATCCAGAAATTTCAAGATCAATTCTGCCAGTAACTAATTATTTAACCAAAATACTTTCATAAATAATTAGTATTAAACCACTTGCGATCCCAAATATTACTTCCACACCCTCAACATTTATTCACCTAAGAAAGTCAATTCGTACAAAAAAGCCCCTTTCAAACAACAAATCTCTCCATATCTGTACATCTCGATCTTCAATGGTGGACAAAGCCTTCGATCTCCAATGGTGGACAAAGCCTTCGATCTCCGATCGTATTTGAAATATTATTCCGCAATTAAAATCCCCAAAACTTGCAAAGCTTTTCCAATTTTAATTTTTTTGTAAGCTGCAGAACCCATTTTCTTCAACGTTAATGGAATTCATTCAATCTTATATATCCAATCTCTGCGTTAATTTTACATTATGTGAGACTATAAATTGTTTCAAAAATACAAAAAGAAAAGATTACTAGTATATAATATTAATACAACACGATCCAGAAACAGAATAGATAAAGAAGAATAAGAAGATATATAGGAATTAAACCTCAATTACTCACTGCTTACATTAATTAGATTAATCCATCACCAAATCCCCATTTAAGCCCAATTAATCACTGTTACTCTCAGCTTCCGGGACGGCGTTGAGGTCGAAAACCACGTTCTCCGCCTCCACTCCGTCCACCGTCTTCTCCTCAGCTTTAACGTCATCAACTACTTGTAACACTTCCGTCGTCTCCACCGCCGTTCCCCACCCCTCCGTCAACTTACGGCCGTCACCGTTACTTTGGAAGTAATTAACAGCCACGCGCATCCTCCGCAGAATCGCGAAGAACTCCTCCACCTCCTCCTCCGTCGGCGGTGGGGCCGCCGCCACCGCTTCTCTCTCTTTCTTCCTCCGCCCTCCCCCGCCGTCTACCTCCTCGTTTTCCCCCATCTTCCTCTTCCTCTCCCCGTCCATCCCGCCGTTTAATTAAACTTAACGGAATCTCTCTCTCTCCTCCCCCCCCACCCCCTCTCTCTCTATATATATATATATATTTTTTTATTGCTTCCTCAAAACGAAAGTCTTTCAGTATATATTCTTTTGTTGGTAAGTTCCTTGGTGACTCTCCTCTCAGGCCTCTCTCTCGCTTTGTATAATGTGAAACGTTTTTTCTCTCTCAACAAAACATTGGGATGTGTGAGTTACGTCATCGATATTTCGTAGACGACGTCATAAGATGGGATAATTATGTGACGCTTCACGGGGACAAGACAAGGGCGTAACAATTATTCAAGCGACGCGCATGTGTATCCACGCGGGGAATATTTATAAATATGTGTGGTTCTGATGGGATGGCGAGTGAGGGTTACGATCCAATTCGAGAAGAGAGCATTGGATTCCCAAAGATGAGAAATTTCGTTGATGGTTCCCACTCTGAGATGATTCCCTTGCTGACCACAGGACGACTCCAATAGTATAAAAATGGGGAAGGAAATTACTATGCTGTTGCGCATCAGTACAACTTTTTTAGTTTGCTTTTGCTCATCAGTACAACTTTTTTAGTTTGTTGCAACATTCATGACACTAGTTATTCATCAAACCATGACTTCATCTCCTCACCAAACCTCAGTAACATTAAAATATTTGTGTAAACGCATGTGCTATTCTTATACGACTTGTTTGGTTTGGTGGAAATGAAGGTGAAATAAACGGAATGATTCAGAGAAAAATAGTGTCGGGTTTCTTTTTAAAAAGTGAAGAAAAGTCTAAACATTTAGAGAGAGAGAGAGAGTAAAAAATTTACCATCCTTTGTACGGTAATTTTCTTACCCTTTCAAAATTGGAAAGAAAGAAACTACATACCTCCTGTTTTTACCTAACAAGTTATTTATTTGAACAGTAATAGAAACAGAAGGTATCTCTCGAATTAATTTTACGTGGCTTGACCATATCAGCCCACGTGCATATTATATATATATATATATAACCCTCCTCTCTCTCCGACGACCTTCACCAACTGTCCATACCCGCTACTTTCTACTTTCACCGTCTGTATATGGCCGCCACCGCTGCCACTCTCTCTCTCTCTTACAACCAACTCCACCGCCCACGGGCGCCACCACCCCGCTCTTTCTCCAATCCTCCTCCCTCTATTTTTATTTTTTATTTTTATTTTTTATTTTTTTCCCTCTCTTTGGCCTACAACTCCGGCTCCAAGAAGAACTTCGAAGAGGTGAAATATCATTTAAGAGAGATTTGCTTTAAGATCCACCAATCTCCAATCCGACACCGAAGATGTGGCAACGGCTGTTGAAGCCTAGGGTTTTAAAATTCATTTCCTGTAAAAATAACTTCACCATATGATCCGGAAAAAATAAAAATAACACACACCATATGTTTATGTAACTCCGTTCCTTTAATCATCATCTTCTCACATCCTGATTCAAATCAACCCCAACGTCATTGTTCTTCGCCAAACTCAAGATCCAATTCTCGCTTGCAATTTATGAGTTCGTTCTAAGCACGTGATGCGATCAATGGAGAGAGACGATGTCAATTATCAACATCACCGTCAATAGAGAGAAACACACCATTTCAAATCAACCTCAATTTACAAGAGGGTTTAGAAAATCTGACGTGGCTTGACCACGTAAGATTTGATTGTTTTTTCAGGCTTACCCTTTGGCCTCCTCATTATTTTCCTATTTATTTTACTTTTTTCAACCCAAAAAGAATTTATTAACCACCAAACAGAAAAGAACAATGTTTTAACTTGTAGGGAATAACTCCGGCCATAACCTCCATTTTAACGTCACCTTCAATGATCAACTTGTGCTCATAACCCCGAAGCATTAAATATTTCAAACCTTCATTTCCAACAGTTATTTTTTGCTACCTACCGACTACCCACAATTTGAAGAAAAATAAGAGCCACCTTTAATACCCTTCCCCTAGAAGATTCTATAAGAACCATATATACCACTGCCACATAAATTATATCTAGCTAGAAATAAAAGAGGCATCCACATTAAGCTTCAAACAATTATCCTCATAATACACCAGTTTAACTTACTTGCAAGAAGACCCAAACCCGTTTCTATGAAAGCTGTAGTTCATTGCCAAATTCCATTCTAATGGACTAGTGGAATGAGTGGGGATTTGTCCATTTACTCAAAAGTTTAAGTTGTTGGATAATGTTGCATATCCATCCTTTTATATTTAATTATTTTTTCATCCGAATTCGATGTGCAACAAATGATTACACCTAACCTTCCAAACCACCCTTACAAAAGGCTAGGGCAATAACAGAGCATATGAAGAATTAACTCCTCATTCTCTCTTTACAAATTTTCATCCCTCCAAATGTGCGCAAAATAAAGGAGGAAAGACAAGTCAGGCTATTGTATAGGCTTTTAATTACAATACCATCCTTTATAAATTACAACATTATAGATAGTGATAAGTATAATAGTAAAAATTTAAATTGTTGGATAATGTTGCATATCCATCCTTTTATATTTAATTATTTTTTCATCCGAATTCGATGTGCGACAAATGATTATACCTAACCTTCCAAACCACCCTTACAAAAGGCTAGGGCAATAACAGCGCATATGAAGAATTAACTCCTCATTCTCTCTTTACAAATTTTTATCCCTCCAAATGTGTGCAAAATAGAGGAGGAAAGACAAGTCAGGCTATTGTATAGGCTTTTAATTACAATACCATCCTCCATAAATTACAACATTATAGATAGTGATAAGTATAATGGTTAAAATAATTTAAAACTGTTTTTTCCCTACTCTCCTAACGAATTTACAATATTTTGTGAATACGTTATTTTTCTTCCATCCAACTGAACAAAAAAAATGAAAGAATACAATTTCTTCTCTAAGAACTTTTTATCTATCCCTTATTCTTTTCCTTCTATCCAAATTTTTTTCTTCTTACCTAACGAAACATATATAAGTCTCTAACTACTCTTCCCCACCAACCATTGAAGATTTGAATTTTTTTCCTTTCCAAGAATCTTTTCCAAAAGGAATTGCAAAGAAGTTGTTCTGATCTCTCAGATGCAACAGGAAACCTCAAGTACCTATTCTTAATGTATGTCGACTGATGTGCTCTAATAGAATCAACACATGATTAAGTTTACAAGTGATTTGAAATTTTGTACTATCAACCACTTCGGAACTTGACCTCACTGAAACAAAAACAACTAGTATTTCTCTTACTATACGCAGGTGAGAACATGCATTACAGTGTCGCCCAAGCCAACCTCATCATTCTTCACAAAAATATCATTATTTTTTGTTTCGACTAAACAAATTAAATTAGAGGAATGAAGCAATGTTTCTACTTTTAATCTGTTATAAGTTTGAAAATTTGAATGGTTAATTAAAAATGTTATTTTAAATTTTTTTTTTTTAACAGTACTTTGCTACAGTGCGGAAAAAATAAAAACATCATTTTGATACTTTTCGATTTTAACTTTAATTTTAAAAGTGCTTCGATATTATTCAAAAGCACAGCAAATATAACTAAACATACTTCGTGTTTTTGCTTGTACACAAACAAAAACAAAAAAAAAATACGAAACAAAAGTAATAGTCAAACAGGCCATAAGTTAACTCTCTCTCTCTCTCTTAACTAATGTTATTATTTTTTTTTTTCTTTTTTACTCATTAAACAAAAACTGTCTCTTATTATATCAAACACAACATTAGTTAATTATGTACCAACTTCAAATAAATAAAATAAATAAATTTGCAAGATGTATATTATATTTTTTATCAAGTCATAAAATTAAGAGATATACAGTCATTGTTCACGTGAGAAACACGTGGTGTTGGAAATTACTGAGCAAAACTACCCTCGGAAAAGATTGCATACTTTTCCTTGTGCGTAACATATAAACTTTTGAAAAGTTTTAGAATTCAGCACTATGAGGGCATTAATTAATGGTCACTCCATCGCTATTCTTGGGTTGTTGGCCTTGTTTAAAACTTCATAATTCACGAAATAAGGTTTGGGGACAGGAGGTGACGTTTCTTTTATTGTAATTCAAAAGTAAAAGTGGCTAGCTTTGGGGTGATGAACTGAGAGTTGCTGTGAGTGATCGGTAATTGCAACCTTTTATCAAAGTCATGGGCGTGGGAATCCACCAAATGTCTAATCGCGGAATTACCACCATATACCGACTACATTTTGCAATACCCATGTTTTTTTTATTTTTTTATTTTTTAGTTGAATTTGCAATACCCATGTTGTACATGCATCACATTCACATTTTTTTTGAAATTTAGTTTTTGTGTGGTTGAATTTTCGAGTTGGGGTACCTCAGCCGGTAGTGAAACTCTTGTGAGTCACGTAGGAATTGAGGTTCGACTCACTTCATTGCGTTAAGTAAAAGAATACCCTTCATGTGAAATCGGTATTGGAAATTTGAAATTATAGATTTAAAATCAGAAATAATTTTTTTTATATAAAGGTAAAATTGCATTTGAGAAGAGAAGATTTTAATTCATACGTCAGTTTAGGGGTGACAATATTTGACATGACACGAACATGATACGAGATAAGAGGGTTTGGGTTTGGACTAATCGTGTTCGTGTCGTAATCGTATTGATACGGATTGACCCGTTAATTAAACATGTCATGTTCGTATTTGACTCTGTTAACACGATTATAATACGATTAACCGATTAACTAAACGTGTCAGATAAACGTAACGTATTCATGTAAAAAAATAATGTATTTAGCAAAACGTGTAGAATAAATGTGTCGTATTTGCCTCAAAATGACTTAAACGTGTATTTTCGTATCATTTCGTGTCGTGACAAATCTTAACATATTTATTAAACGAGTTACGCGTATTACACGTATAATAATTATATCGTGTTATGAATCTTCTTTGACACAATTAATAATTATGTCGTGTTTATATTGACTCTAATCATATTTATGTCATAAATGTATTAAGGGTAAAGTGCAATAAACTCCCTGATATATAGAATTTGTGTAAAATTAGTCCTACTTTTTCAAAATGTATATCCAAGTCCACAAAATTCAAAAAATGTGCAAAACTAGTTCTTCTGACACCTTTCTACAAAAAGTAAAACTGAAAATCTTATTTTATCCTTTTTGATTCCCAATTTACCCCTTATATATATATATATATATATATATCAATTCCTTATATTTTCCCTTTTTATGCAAATTTGATTTGGGTATTTCTTCCTTTAATTTCAATTTTTTTGCAATCTCCTTTTTTTTTTTTTTTTTTTTTTTTTTTGGCAATTTAAGATCTTCTATATATATATATATATATATATATATATATATATCAATAATAAGATTTTACCTTAATTAGTTTTAGGGAAGATGATCAGAACCCTAACCCCTCTCTTTTTCCACGCTCCATTGCTGTTTATCACGAACACATGAAGTACAGAAATTGTCAATTATTTACTTCAAACACTCCTGATATTTAAGAATCTTATGTGGGTTCGGTGGATCTGGAATTTGGAATTTGGATTTCAGGAATTTGGAATTTGGAGACGAGAGAGATGGAGGGGAGAGAGATGGAAGGGTGGTGGGAGCGAAGGGGGTGGTTTGGTGGCAGGCCAGAGGTGGTAGTCGAGGGTTCGATGGAGGAGGCCGGTGGAGGTTTAACTAGTCGCGGGGTTGAGTTTTGAGACGAGAGAAAAGGAGTGGTGGTGGGTACCGACGAGGAGTTCTTTGACGGGGATAGAGACGGAGCCGATGTTTCAGTGGCCGAGGATGCCATGGTTGCAGTGGAGTTTGAAAAGGTGGAAAAGGTCAGTGGGGTTGCCCAAGATTCCGGCTATTTTCATATTTGCCGATGTATCTCTATCTTCTCTTTTCCGGTTCCTTCCATATTCATGGATTCATACAGTTATAAATACCAGATTTGCTTTCTATCTCTACAATGCTAGTAATAGAAAAATCTGAGATTACCAAAAATAGAACTAAAGAAAGGAACAAATCAGATGGCAAAAAAATTGAAACTAATGCCTAAAGAGAAGTCAAAAAATGGATTTTCCCCAGGCAGCATAAAAGATTCTTAATTTTTTTGTCAATCCGGAATCAAGATTGGGGTAGCATATTTCTTTTTTAAGGTTTTAGATCTTTTTACCTAACTAAAGCTCCTCCAAAATACATCCTCCCAAGTATATGGCTGGTAAAGGAAACGAAAAATACTGCCAAAGTCATACAAGACATAATAGCGAAGGTAGATGATGAAGGGTAAAATGGTAATTTTACATAGCTTGTATTTAAATTTTTTTTTTTTTTTTATTGAAATAAGGATATTAACGTTGTTTTAAGTCTTTAAGAGGTCATTTGCACCGAATCAATAATATAAGGAAGTTTTTTTATTGTACAAAGACTATTATGCATTATATGATAGTAAAAAGAGTTTTTTTTTTTGTTTTTTTTTTGGACACTTTACCCTTCTATTAAGCCGGAGACGACTTGTCAACGCAAATTTCCACCCCTGCCAACAACCAAAGAGAGCATGTCGGCTAGTCAAGTAAATGAAAATTCCACTTATTTCTAAAGTAGATAAACAGTACACATCTTTAAAAGCCTCCTTGACCAAACAACTTTTGACCATTGTTATCGAATCCCCACACACTCTCGGAGAGCTATTGAGAGCGGGAAAATCGGAGGGAGGAAATAAAATTATTTTCTCAAACATGTTCTTTTGCAAAGGGGAAAGAAAAACAGTATTTCTAATAATTGGTTGAGGATGCATGCTCGAAACATCTTCTCAAATAATATTTATTTATTTTTCCTTGACAAAGAGAAGGTCTCAATGTAAGAAAATAGATCGTCTAAGTACAATTCGGAGAAAGATACAATATTGACTTTCAACCTAAATGGTTTCAATTTCAATTAAGGTCGAGTAATTAATACTTAGACTGATATCATTAACCGTGCTAACCTTAGTATGGAAGTTAATTATGCACGAACCTAATCCTCACACCTTCCGACTAGACCTAGCTGCTCTATTGAATTAGGCTCCATCTACAAATGGACAAGAGATTATTCCAAATGGAATCCATACTATTAAGTAATAACCAAGCACAGCGCCCTCCTATTTATTTGCAACCAATCAAGCATTCTCATCAACCCTTTCTTTTTCATTGCAAACAGAAAATGTGATGGTAAATATATAGAAAATTAACCACATTACATCAATAATCCAAGATTCGAATTAAAAGTTAAAACAATATCAACCACTATTGTAATATGCAATAACCAGACTCAATATAGTTTATGTCCTGAGAGTTTATTAATATAGCAACAGGAATGCTATTGCCGCCACCACTAACAAGTGACCTTCTGCCTTACACTTTATTCCATCACTCCGGCCAAATCCCGCGATGCTGGGCCTCAGGGTCCCTGTCACCATTGGAGAAGCTCAAAAAAAGAAAAGAAAAATAAATAAATCAATAATCTCCTGCTTCGGTAATTAATTTAATTTTTAAGCAATATATCTAATTGATGGGTGCATGATTTGACGTATATTCTCATAGTTGTTACAGATTAGTGTGAAATGAGTGAGTTCAGATAAGTTTACATACCAGCAAAAGTAGAATTGGTCTTTGTCCCAAAGGAAACTTGAGAAGCAGGTGAACTAGGAGTCAATGGCATCCCTTGAGAAAAATAAAAAATAAAACAACAGTTACTCAGTGGTTAAAATATAAAATAAAATAAGCACATTAAGACCCACATAATTAATTTACTACATATCTACTATCAATTAATTTGATTTTATAATTATATTAAACCTTAATTAGTAGGTAGGACTAAATTATAATAATTGCTAAAGCTGGATTTTTTGTTGCATGTATACTTTAAAAACAATTATACAGTACTGCCATGCTTTTAAAATTGGGATATAGCCGTTGTATATATAACGGTTCATTGGAAGGCCACGGGCCTTGGAATGAGATGTTTATTGTTATGGTCATAGGCCATTTTGAGTTGGCCTTCATAGTTAAGAGCCCATTTTTTGTTCTAAATCCAGTCCAATAATGTTAGCTGGGCTAGCCCATATCATGAATATTATTTGCTTGAATTCCGAAAAAAAAAAATGGGATGTATGTGTTTGTTTTTTTTGGAATGTTAAGCAATTGTATATATGTAAACTTAATTACAAAGAACTCCAGCTTGTGCCGGATCAAAAGGCCGTGGCCCAAAAGAAACATCAAGGTCAATGACCCAACCCAAGAGTCTAAATGACTCAACCAGATACTGTGCTTGATATATACCTGAACAAATAGAGGTGCTAATGTGGAGGTTGCATAGAAGTGGCAATTGCAGAGAAAATGTGCTATTGATGGGAAAAGAGGTGAGACTAGTGGCATTGAGCAAGAGACAAAGGCAGCTTGGTTGCTGGTTGTAGAGTTGTTTGAGGTTATCACAACACGGCTGTGCCGGCGAGGTGGCTCTGCCCTGCACAAATGGTGCACATGGGACCAATGGCAGCAAGCATTCGGCAATGGTGGGGTCCGATGGCAACGAGCCAGGGTTTTGTGAAAGGGTGGTGGATGGAAGGCAAGAGAGAAACAGAAGATTTAGAGAGGTGATGGCAATCAGAGTGGAGTAGTAGTGAAAAGCAGCCATGGCGTGCGTGTGTGTGTGTGTGTGTGTGAAAGGGTGGTGTATTTTTCTTTGTTTTTTACATAGAAGAAGTTGCTAAGCTAGGTGTCTAAATTGTTGAGCATATATGCATTGTTTAAGCAGGAGTTGCAGGTGCAGGGTACGTGCTACATGCTTGTCGTGTGTGATTCTACACATACTTTTCTCTCTAATTATAGGGGCGCGTGTGTGGTACATGAATGTACACAACTATAACTTGCTGTACTGCGAGCTCAATAACTGATGTGTGGGACTAGTGAGGAATGAGAATGCATGCACCGTGTGTGAGCTAGCTAGTTTCAGATTTGTAACTAGGTATTTAATTAATAATTATTTGGTTTATAATTAGTATTTTTTTCTTTTTATATGTCCTAAATTAGTTGTACTCTTTAAAAAGTGAAAGCTTTTTTTCATTATATTTTCATCATTGTCCTTTATCTTTTTAAAAAAATTCAAACTTTGTAACTATATATATTTAAATTAAAAAAGACAATTTGGTAATTTTAAAAAGAGACAATGCATTAATTGCATGTCCCCCTTAAAAACTCCAATTTTTAAACATAGACTTCTATTTAGGGACAAAGGTAGTACTCCCTCTGTTCCAATTTAGATGTCGCTTTTGGGGAGTGAGAATTTTTAAAAAAACATGTGGGACATGCCTTGTCTCCTTGGAAAGTTATTAATTTGTCCTTATATTCAAGTTTGAAATTTTAAATTCCAAAAATATATATGGAAAGATGTACAATATATTACTTGAAAAAAGAAAATGAACAACTATTTTAAGACAAATTAAAAAAGAAAGCATGACATTTTTTTGGAGCAGATGAATGGAGTATAAAACAATCCATTTATTGGACAAATAATAAGTGTTTAGCATCCATGTTTCATTACTGAATGGTGTGTGACTGCATGCATGGGTTGTCTTATAGGAGAAACATTAAATGCTCCTGGATTAGCGTTAAAATAGTATCACTCGGTTAGTTAAATACTAAACACGTAAGTAAAATTATTATTATTATTAGAGAAAGTTTACAACACTTCACTGGTATTATATATGTGATAGTTAACACAAACTTTGAAGATAAGAGCTCGTACATTGGATTAGGTCCTTTCATGAAAGGCATGAAGTTGATTGTTTGGTTTGAGTGTAAACAATAGAAAAGAAAAATAGTAAATGGCATTCATTGTTGGCAGCCCTGTTTTTTTTGTGTTTTTTTTTTTTTTTCACGTTGGCAGCCCATTTGGTCACACGAAACTTTTATCCCCTCTCCATCAATCAATCAATCAGCTCAAAATCTTCAACTCGAGCAGCTGTGGTGGTTCTCCGGTATGTGAGGACCGACCAGTCTATTTTGTTATTGCCCTAACCTAATTCAATATACCCAAAAAATCAAAACATATACTAATAAAATACCATGTTAAAAAGATGCTTCACTTAAAAAAAAAATATCTATGTGAATTTAATAAAGTGGGTGGTGAACTGAAAAGAAAAATGTGAAATTAAAGTTGATTTTGATTCTGTTTTGTTTTTTTCTCAGTTTAAAAAAGGAAGACGCACTAGATTTCATTACGGTTGTGCAATCATATTGGTTGAATTTGTTTTTTTGTGATACTTTTTCTGTAAATAATGGTCGTGACAGAAATGATGTTTCACACACTCTCCATGGAAGATAAATACTCGATGAAGATATTAGACTTTCCTTGTGTTTAGATTCACTGCATTGGAAAGAAAACAGAATTAACTAGCCCTTATTAGCTATTAATAGATAATATACATACCAAATTAGTGAATTAGAAGAAATCTTATCATAGACTCTTATACTCGGTATTAGATTAAAAATAAAACAATGTGGTCGATCGGCTGCTCTCATTTAGGAGTGCCGAAAAATTTCGGTCAAACTGAAAATTCAAATTCGACGCAGTTTGGTTCGGTTTGGTTTGGTTTGGTCATAGTTTTAAATTTATGAAATCGTAAAGATATTATTTGATCACGGTTCGAAATACTTTAGAGCCGAACCGAACCGTTTACTTATATATATATATATTTAAATGGATAAGGCGGTGTATAACCGACCAAGTAAAATAAGTAAAAATTCGAATAGATAAGGCGGTGTATAACCGACCAAGTATATATATATATATATATATTAAAGCAGATAAAATAACTTAATATTAAATTGATATTACTAAAACAGAAAGTAATTACAAAAGATTATAATGACTGAATAACTTACAAACTGATATGTTACTAATAGTAGTCTGATGTATACAACATACTGTTGGTGTATTACACTGAGAAAGGATGAAAAGAACTGAACACAGAACTGAATATTACAATGAGAAAAATATAATGAAGCCTAAAAACTCTCTCAAACAAAGCCTGATGAGCAATGGGACTGACCACTGAATTTATAGGCCAGACTAGAGACATTTGAGGCGCAATTTCTGGCTTTCCAAAAATAACTTTTGACTTTTCAGACTGCTTTTAACTGTTGATGAATAGTGAGTTACTGTTCCTGTCGTTTATGCCGACGGTTACTGTAGATGAATAGTTCCTTGTCGGGAGCACTGTAGAAATAGTGATTCTGCCGACAGTTACTGTAGAAATAGTGACTTTGACCTGTTACTGTAGTAATGTTGACTTTTTCCCAAAAATTCCTTAGTAAGAATCATCGTAGGGATCTTGACTATCTTGGAATACTAGGTCATCATATAAGTTGGTAACTGGGTAACTGGATTCATTAGCAGTGAAGGTATTAACTGATTCTTCTTCTTCTTGTGACATCTCTTAGATGCGACTGGTTAAATCTGCTGCTATTTTCTTGAGTGAATCCAACTCTGATTTTTAAGTGGATTTACGTGACTTCGAAGTAGTGACTGAGGCTAATTGTTTTGGCTGAGTAACTTGTTGTGTTGGAGGAGTGACTATGACTGGAGCAGCTGTAACTGGAGCTGGGAATTCTTCTTTAATATAATCAAGAATCCTAGCGATTTTGAAAGCATCCCACCATTTGACATAGTGGCGACGAATGGCTGTGTTTCCCTGAATGTCATATAACCATTTGAAAATCCAGGAGACTTTGTATTTGTAAGAGAATAAGAATAGAATTGGGAACTGAGAGTTATGTTTACTGGTTTTGTAAATTGTGTGAAAGTATGTGACTTGTTCTGCCAGAGTAAGAGGGAGGATTTCTGGAATGGAGCCAAACGTTGACCACCATTTAAGAAACCAAGTAGGAATTGGGGCTTTATAATTAAACTTGTTGTCAAAACAAAGGAACCATGAATAAGTGAAGGATGGATTTTGGTGAAGT